TAATCTAAGTCAGGGCATGGCTAACTCGCAGATAGAACCCTGAAACAACCTCTGGGCTAATCTAAGTCAGGGCATGGCTAACTCGCAGATAGAACGCTGAAACAACCTCTGGGCTAATCTAAGTCGGGGCACTGCTAGCTTACAGATCGAATTGGAATATAGCGTGTAGTTAGGTTTTGCAAAAGGAGGAAAACTCGTAGAAAAACCTTTCAAATCAAGACCTAACTAATTTAGTACCCTCATGTTATGCTAAATTCAAGAATCGTACGCAATACCCCAATCAGTGCACCAGTGCCACGCAGCCCTTGATTTCCAAAATTGTTCAAGCTTAAAACTTGGAGCTTCACGAAAATGCCATGTTGTAGATAAGTCACGGTGAACCGTGTATGAAAATATACACTAGCTGCATGACAAGTAGTGTTCATGAATTAGAAAGCCTGCATGCACACCTTATGTAATATACGGTTCTTGTTCAGTCATTGCCCGTTTGTATTTATAGCTACAAAAGTTCGGGACCGATCGTCATCAAAAGCTAAGGAAGAAGTACAGCAGCAGGAACAAATCTATGCAGAAATAACGGACCAACCAGTACAGCCACCAACAGACAGTCAAAGTAGTGTACCTGAAGAAGCATCAACACAAACGAGGACACCGTTAACGAGGACAGTCATTCTGCTTTCTGGAAGTAGGTGTTGAGTTTTAGATTTATTTTCATCCCTTGAATTCCTGAAAGCTCTTTATTCTTCCTTCCTTGCATTCCTTGCAAATTAACATGTTTTTAAAAATAACTGATCGCAGATAAAATCACAAAAAAGGGCAAACTCACAGATGAATAATAATTTCGTGTGCTGCAATTGTAACCTGCAACACGTTTTATTTGATGAACTCAGTAAAGATAATTTTGCATTTTATTCCTTATTTTTTCAAGGAAGTATGTTACCAGAAGAATCAACAGACGATGACGGGTACGCAGAGCCTCCTGATTCACCTGTATATAACGAACTCGAAGATACTAATGAACAAAGCACTGATAATGATGGTGGGACAGAGAAACTTGACAGCTATAGTCAGCAAGAAGGCTCAAGGGGAGTTGCGGGTRGCGATGTTACCAGCTCTGTATCAGTACCTGGAAGTTCAAATGTAGTGGATAAAAGATACGCCGCCAATCAGAGACGAAAACCACCCAGCCCACCACAGAAGGGAAATGACACGAAGGAAAGGGGACTTAATGTAAATGATGGCACTGATGTGAAGGAAGATGGTGAAGAAGGAAATAATAAGAACCATGACTATGAACCTCTAAGGGATGACAATAGGGATGTGTATCAACCGCTAGACAGGAATACCATGAATAATAGATGAGATACTCATAGAGAAGAACTAGCTCAAAGGCTTTGCTTTATCTAAGATATAATATCAAGTAGAGTGCTAACAGTTAATCCGTGAAACACTAATTACTAAATAGTACAAAATAGTGCTAATTAAACAATAGAAAACAATGGAATTTGCATGAAATTGTGCTATTAGTATTACTAAAGTTTCACAGTTATGTTGTTTGCACTCTAATAAAACATTGTAGTGAACACTATAAGGTAGACTAATTTCCGGTTAGTCTCCTTGCTTCATAGCTATTCCGCTATGGTCACAATGACGTGGCATCTATATTGGTGTACACAACAAGAGAAGTTAGCTGAAAATAAACTGTTAACTATACGCCAAAATTATCTCATGTGAAAACCCAATTTCACGGAGGGGGGGGGGGGGGGGGGG